GCACAACTCTGAAATCTCCGACGAACCTATTGTTATTTCGCTCTCGCGTGCACCGAAAACCATTCGTCATGCACTTCGCGATTTAGCGTTTTTATCATAAACCAGTTCGTGTGAGTGTAAAACTCGGTGGCGCTCTTGCGCAATTTGCTTTATTAATTGTTAACAGCTCGGTCACGTAGTCGGCGTCTGTTGCGCCTCCAGAAACGCTTTCCATAAATCAGTCTCGGCGGAGATATTAAAAGTCCATTTTTCAGGAGCACCTTCAATTCCAGGAATAATAGAGCTTTGTTCCTGCTGCCGCCATTGAATTTCGTCGCACGTATCTTGTTGCGTTCGCAGGAATTAGAAGAAGATCCTGCTGTCGTTGTTTGTTTAGATTTTCAGCGATTGTCCTTCGTCCGTTCGAGCGTCACCGACGATTGGGTCCTGGAAATACCGCCCGATTTGTATTCTAGGTGCAGAGTGATAAAAAGACTCTCGCGTTTGTTTAAAGCCCGAAAGTGGGTCAGTTTGCATAAATTCGTCGCAATCCTGGTGTTATAAATAATAAAGTTTAATTTGAAAGCTTCATGTTTTATCTGAGAACAGTGCGAGACTTGTAATCCAAACTTTAAGTGTGCGCTTTATTCTTCTAAGTTTACGGCTATTAAACTTGTTTTTGCACTTTCGTCGGGTTCCGGTTCGTGCGTAATTAAAAAAAAACGGTCTTTGATAGCGATTCGGCTTTCTGTTCATCGCTCGTTGAAAAGTCTAATCTATTTACCTTTTTTTCGTGTTTACCTTATAATCTGTTTAGATTATGAGGGCGTTAGGGCGGTCCAGACACGCCGTTAATTGAACAAACTGACGGTTTAATTTTTTCCGAAAATAATCCGGATCGAGTGGAAATGCGAGAGGAGCAAGCCGAGCTCAATCGGAATATAATAGGCCATTAATCACGCCGTACGATTGTTAAGTAAGATTAAGCACGTGAGTTCGGGGCAAACGCCTGCTTTAATCGAAGACAACACGCACTTTGTCTGCGAAAATGGCGTAGTCAGTGGGATGCGTTTTCCACCCGATGCACATATAAACTTGCAATTTCTTCGACTTTGTCGGTAAAACACAGGTTTTCCCAAAAACTAGTTCGAATGGCGTATAACGCGTTTCCGTATGCACTGTATTGTTAAACGCAAAACACCAAAACGACACCCACGCACTCCAGCTGTTCGAATATTTCGCGCACTGTATCCTAAGATATGCACCTAAGTTTTTATGTGTATTTTCAAGTGCTCCAAGAGTCTCGTGGTGATATGCCGTTGAATTTAGTTTTTTGATATTAAGGATTTTGCAAACTTCAGATAAAGTACTACAAAGAAATTCACATCCTTGATCGGTGACAATTTCATTAGGTATTCCAAATCTTAATATGAAATTGTCTACAAATGCCTTGGCAACTGTTACAGCTTCCTTGTTTGGGATAGCATATGCTTCGACAAATTTGCTTAGCTCGCATTGTATAGTTAAAATATATCGGTTATTTTCAGAATCTTGTTCGAGTGGTCCGACTATGTCTAGAAAGATTTTTTGAAAAGCAGACTTAGCTGTTGTTGTGATTGACATTGGCTGAATATTTGGTTTTGAATATTTGAACCGTTGACAATCGTCACACTTTTGTACAAATTTTTCTACAGCTTTTCTTAATCCTGACCAATAAAATATTTCTTGACATTATTATACATTCGATTTATGCCTGCATGCCCTCCTGTCGGAAGCATGTGAAAGTCATTTAAAATTATTTGTCGCATTTCTGGATTTTCGACAATTTGAACATCATTTATTATGCTGAGTTTTAAATTTAATTTCCTTACTTCATTTGGATGTTTTATTAATTCATTTAAAATGTTGTGTGCACACATTTTTCTCTTGATTATAACTATTTCCGGAATATTATATTTCGTAACAATTGTATGAAGATCTCTCAACGTTGCTTCTAAGGCACACGCCGATCGAGTATCTTCTTTCACATAAATTACTTGCTCATCAGCTTTACATATTAAATTGCCTACTTTATAATCGTAAGTTTCATTGTTAACAGCTGTTTTAAATTCTTTTTTGTCTATTAATCTTAACTCAAATGATTGTGATGGACGTTTTATCAGCTCCACTATTCCAGGGTGATCAAGTCTGTCATATGAAACCGATTCAACGTTTTGATTTTCAGGTTTTCTATTTTTGCTTTGCGCTCGAGTTATTGCAGAAATGGTTTCGGATACACCGTTTCCCATTTGTTTTAATTCGTCTGATGTTATCTCTATACGCGATAAAGTATCTGCTACTACATTGTCTTTTCCTTTTATATACTTGATTGTGAAATCATATTCTTGAAGAGTTAATCTAAATTTTGTTAAACGACTAGATGGATCTGACATTCCGAATAAGTACACTAACGGTCTGTGATCAGTGTGGATAATAAACTTTCTTCCAAATAAATATGGACGAAAATGTTTTACTGCAAATACGATTCCTAATAATTCTTTTTCTATCGTACAGTATTTTGATTCGGCTGCATTGAGTGTTCTACTAGCAAAAGCAACTGGTTTATCATCTCCGTTACAAAGTACGGCTCCTAATGCAATGGAAGAAGCATCCGTTTTTAAAATAAAAGTGTTTGTTTCGGAAAAATTTGGATATTGCAAAATTGGTGGTTTTATTAGAGAGTTTTTCAATGTTTCGAAAGAGATTTGACATTCCTCATTCCAATCAAATTGTACATTTTTCTTGCTCAATTTATTCAATGGTGCTGCTATGTCTGCAAAATTTTTAATATATCGTCTGTAATAGTTCGCAAAAGCTACAAATCTTTTTGCATCGTTAGCATTTCGCGGTATTGGAAAATTTTGAATACATTTAATTTTGTCTGGGTCGGGCGATACACCATTAGCTGAAATTACGTGTCCTAAATACAAAATTTCTTTCCTTAAAAATTCGCATTTGTTTGGATTTAATTTTAAATTAACTGATCTCATTCTTTCGAAAACTTTGATTAAATTTTTATTGTGATTTGCCAAATTATTACCAAAAACTATTAAGTCATCCAAGTATACAAAGCAACTTTCGTAATTTAGTCCCGACATAGCTATTGTCATGGCTCTAGAAAAACTTGAAGGAGAAATTTTTAATCCCATTGGCAGACGCTTCATTTGATAATGACCTCTGTCGGTAATAAATGCTGTACACGGTCTACTCTCTGGATCAATTTCAATTTGATAAAATCCTTGAGACAGATCTAAATGTGAGAAATACATAGCTCCTGACAATGAATCCAAAATCTCAATGATAGATGGTAAAGGAAATTTATCGTCTTCAATTTGTTTATTCAACTCACGATAATCGATTACAATTCGCCATTTCTTTTCACCATGAGGACCAGATTTTTTCGGAAAAATTAATAATGGAGAGGACCATGCTGAAGACTTGGCCTCTTCGATTATCCCATCTTTCAACATTTTGTCAATTTGCGTGTGTATTTCACTTTTTTGTGATTGGGGAAGGCGGTACGGTTTTCTATAAACAGGTGTTGTGTTGTTTTGCAACTTAATACTCTGTTTATAAATGTTGGTCACTGTAAGTGGATCGTTTTCAAGATAAAAAACGTCTGAATACTTGGCGCATATTTTCTGAATTGACATTTCCTCTTCCTTATTCAAATTTCTCATATCTAAATTATTTAGTAGCCTATCTACCCTATTTACCGATTGTGGATTGTTGTCAAAATTAAAAATGTAATAATCAACTGACTTTTCCAATTTAGGTTTAAAATTTTTAATTTTTATGTCTTCATCTCTAACATTAAGTATTTTTACAGGAATTTTACTTGACCTTGACTTTGTTAATGCGGCTGCTACATAAACTCCTTGACATAATTCTTCCGGAAAGACTACATATTCGTCGTCATCTTTGACGTAGCAATATTTTATAATTTCACACCTAGCCGGTATTTCCGTATAAACTTCGTAACTTGACTCTATTGGTATTGCAATTTTCCAGTCATCAACATAAAATGAAAACAAGTACTTTTCGTAATCAATTATCGCATTATGCTTAGTAAAGAAATTTGAACCTATTATTCCATCAATTCCGCTTGCAAATTTATCTATCAGCAAAAATTCTTGATTGAACTCTATGTCATTTACCTTTAACTTTAAGTCACATGCACCTTGAGAAATTGTTGAACCTGCAATTCCGTTTATTGCAATTTTCCTGCTTCGATCAATGAACTGACATCCTACTAATTTAGAATTTGGAAAAATAACACTAACTGACGCTCCTGAATCTAATAAAAATTTTAATTCATTTTCCCCATGTATTAATTTCACATAATTTAGACCATCTACATTCAGAACTGCTGCATCATCAAGTTTGCAATTAGTGTCTTGATTCACGAAAAAACGATGACTTATTATTTTCACTATTCACATTTGTGCTTGTATTGCCGGTTTCCGAATTTGACATAAAATAACCTCGCGAATGGTGGTTTCTGTTATAACTTGTGTTATTATATTCATGCCTCTCGTTATATCTGTTATTTTTATTACTTTTATTATTGTTAAGACCTCTGTAGTTTGTGCCTCTGTAGTTACCACGACTTCCAAAATTATTTGATCTAGATTGGAATTGTATTTGTGGATTCTGCGTTTGATAATTTTCAAAATTTCCCCGATTACAGGAACTATTATGTTTATTAAAATTTCCGTAATTCGATCGTTGATTATTTCTATAGTTATGATTACTGCCTCTGACTGTGTTATGATAACTTCCTTTATGCAAACTGAAAACTCTACTAGACTGTGTGGAAGCATTTTCGTCTTTAGATCCACGGATCGCTTCATTTAATTTTGAATAATTTCGTGCTTTTATGATAGTGCGAAGCTCAGGATTCTGCAAACCGTTTGCAAACGCATTTATAGCCAACTTTTCGTTTGTTTCTCAAATATAATATAACAAGTGGCCTGATTTTTTCCGACAAAATTTGTGACACAAATTAACGAGTAGCTGTTGCGACGAAAATCACACGAGTCGACGAAGGAGACGAGTGTGATTTTCCAAAAGCAACAGCTACGAGTTAATTTTCACACAAATTTTGCAGAAAAAATCAGATCACGAGTTATATTCGGCTTGACAATCCAAAGAGAAAATTTTTATTTACTTTTTACGGACAATAATTCACATAATTTATAGCGTAGTCGTTGAGTAACCATACCTACTTAGTCTAAATAGTAACAAAACAACAAGGCAAAACGTAAATAAATTTCTAAACATCAAATTTTGTGTGTGCTGCTGGTTGATTTTCTTAATTCTGGGAGCAAGATTTGGTAACAAGACTGTGTATGAAATTCGAAATGCAGTGAAAGAAAGTCAGTGCCGAAAGACCGCAAGAACGCAAGATTCAATTTGGAAGCAGTTTACAGAATTTTGTGAAATACGCAAGTTTCATCTGAATAAAGCAGTCGAAATGAACGAGGTGGCCAGTATTTTGGAAGATTATGCCTTTAACGCCAACAGAAAAGTAATTTGTATGTTACATTATCATTTTTTTATTAAAGTTAATTTGACAAGTTTGACAAATTAATTTGACATTTTTTTTTTCGCTGAAAAATAGTGTTGTTGCCTGACAGAAGAATGTTTTTTCACTGAAAAAATTTTTCGGTGAATGCCATTGGACAAATTTCAAACAATTCTGCCATTTTATTGGTTAAGAATTTTCGAGTTGGATTGTCTTAAAAAAAAATGGCGGGCGGTGCGAACGCATCGGAATCTACTTTGTCGTGCAAGAAATGTAAATCAAAGGTTGTAAACGCTATCAAATGTGCAAAATGTGGCAATGCATACCACCAAAGTTGTGCAAAACTAGTGACAAATATTCAATTCTTGGATAATTCATCTGCCCTTTGTTGCGGACCAGTGCCTATGGGAGAAGATGATACAGCGTTCTTTGAAGCTGTTGATCACCTTATTGGACCTGACAAGAAATTGGACTTCTCCATTTTCACCTACCTTATGAAGCAAAAGGATCAAACGATAAATGAGTTGCGGGAGCATGTTAGATTATTAAATGAACATATTGTACTTTTAAAAGCCAACTCAAATGCAAAACCTGATACACCGTACATAAGAAATGATAAAATAAGTAGCGAACCTGATAAGAAGCTATCCCCAGAAAAAGCTATAAAGAAAAACATCAATGTGCAAAAAACACCAAGTAGTAATAGTGTCATTGACACCCACGATATAAATATAAACAATCAGAAGCCAAAAGAAAATCGAACAAATAAACGCAAACCGTTGATAATTGGAAATGGCACTGACCCGGGTGGTAACAACAATGATGGCTTTGCCATTGCGAGGGTGGTAAAACGATCTTCCATTCACTTAACTAGGATCAACCCTAAAATAACGGATGAACAAATATCGAATTTCATTGAAAACAACTTAGTATCTTTATCTTTATTGAAAGAAAATATATCACCAGGCATTAAAGTTGCCAAGCTTCAATCTCGACATCCCGATACGTATAGTTCCTTCAAGATTACAATGGACTCACTCTATTTTAAGGACCTACTTGAACCGAACTTCTGGCCTAAGGGTGTAGCAGTTAGAAAATTTTTTAACGAATACACCAGAAGACTATCGAGTACTCAAAAGCTTCTAAAAAACTCAGAAGAGGATTCAAGAAACTAAAGTGGGGCCAGGATGGAAATCTTGAATCCTTCTTAGTTTATTATCAAAATGTCAGGGGTATTCGTACAAAATTAAATAGTCTTTATGACAGCATCCTTAGCGAAGATTATCCAGTGATAGTGCTTGCAGAAACCTGGCTTATAGAGGGTATTACGAATAAGGAATTCATTGACGATCATTATACGATCTATAGAAGAGATAGATGCACTAAATCTACAAACAAAACCAGAGGCGGGGGAGTTTTGGTGGCTGTACTGAAGATATTCGGTTCTTTTCAGCTGGACGTAAACACCAATTGCCGCGAGGAAATTTGGATCAAAGTTAGCATTAATAATGTGAATTTTGTGATAGGTGCAGTCTACATTCCTCCTGACTCTTCACCCGAAATTTACACTGAACACTGCTCAACTATCGAATTAGTATCTAGTGAATATTCAGACTCGGTTATCTGCGTGGTAGGAGACTTTAATCTCCCAAATATCTCATGGTATCTGGACCCAGAAATCGGGATTTCTCCTATCTGCGGTAACAATGCTCTAGATCAATATGTCTGTGACAGTTACAATTTTTGTGGCTTAAATCAGTTTAATACAATCCCTAATTCAACGGGTTCTATTCTAGATCTTGTTTTTTGTAATGAAATGGATTTGTCGGTTGCAAGCTGTCATCCTCTTATAAATTGTGACATTTACCATCCTGCCTTAAGTATTGAATTTATGCATATTGACTTCTCACAGAAATCAAATGACAAATCTTGTAACTATTATCGTCATTTTAGTGCGGCCTCTTACGAAGATATTAACAACTTTCTTAATAATATTAATTGGTTATTTCTGTGTGATATAAGCTGTGTAGATGTCTGCGTTAGTGTATTTTACGACATAATATCTACTGCGATTGACTTGTACGTCCCGATGCATGTTGAGCGTTCCAATAAGTATCCCAAATGGTTTAATTCCAGAACTAGACTTCTGATAAATGAAAAGAAAAAAGCTCATAAATTGTACAAACTCACCAAGCAGGATGAGGATTATAACGTTTTTAGTTCCTTAAGACGTGAATGTAAGGAAGCCATTTCCGAGTGTAAAAAAACTTACCTAAATAATGTCGAATCGAACATACATAATGATGTAAGGGCATTTTGGTCCTATGTTAACTCAAAAAAAACAAATGATGTTATACCTAAAATTATGTGTCTTGAAAATGTCAAAGCTGAAAAGTTACCTGACATATGTAACTTGTTTGCGGATTTTTTTGAAAGTATATATGCTAAACCAAATTCTGTTAACCAAACGGCGACGGCTTCCACTTGTAACGACTTAATAGATATTTTAAAGATAGAAATCAGTGTTGATGATATTACAAAAGCTCTCGACAATATTGACATGAACTGGAGTCCGGGGGCTGACGGTTTACCGCCAGCTTTTGCGAAAATGTGCTCATCCTCACTGGTCCTACCTTTGAAAATAATCTTTAACAAATCGTTAAGCGCAGGAATATTCCCATCTGCTTGGAAAATGTCAGACGTAGTGCCCATACATAAAAATGGGAATAAGAACCAGATAAACAACTATAGAGGTATTAGCTTACTGCCTGCTCTACCTAAAATATTTGATAAAATTGTAACAGCAAAGGTACTCCCGTTCATCAAAAATGTAATTATTGAAGAGCAACATGGTTTTATAGTAGGTAAATCTACAAACACCAATTTGACTGAGTTCTCCCATTATTTGTTTAATAATATCGAAAGTGGACATATCGTTGACTGTATCCATACGGATATTAAAAAAGCTTTTGATTGTGTAAATATTGATAAACTTATTGCTAAACTTAATTCTTCAGGATTTGGCAGTCCTTTCTTAGACTGGATAAACTCATATCTTACGAGTCGACTTCAAAGGGTCAAAATCGCAGATTGCCGATCGCGGCCGATTAAAGTCACATCAGGTGTTCCACAAGGGTCCCATATGGGACCATTACTATTCCTCTTATTTATAAATGACGTTAGCTCTGCTTTTTCGGGATGCAGATTTTTACTCTTCGCTGACGATTTGAAACTTTTTTATAGAATTCACGACCCCGAAGATTCTGTATTACTACAGAGCAATTTGACTAACTTTGTAAATTGGTGTAATTCCAACGACTTACAACTTAATGTATCTAAATGCAAGGTAATCAGATTTTCTATGAAACGTGTAAAAACTGTCCCTTCCTATTATATTAACTCTGATGAGCTTAGTGTTGTAGAGTCAATTAATGACTTAGGGGTTACCTTTGCTGCAAACCTTGATTTCAAGATACATATAAATAATATTATAAATAAAGGAAATAAAACATTAGGTTTTGTCCTGAGACAGTGCAGTGCTTTTAACAATCTCAGGACATTTGTCACACTATATTGCTCACTTGTAAGATCTATATTGGAATATTGCACTGTGATATGGTGTCCATATCGTGAAATAAATGCCCTGAGATTGGAAAAAATCCAAAAACGTTTTATTAGATTTCTATGTTTTAAATTAAATATCCATTATAAAGCCAGTAACTATACAGATCTTCTTCTATATCTAGGTTTACCTTCTTTACATACACGACGAAATTATTTTGATATCTGTTTTCTATTTAAAATACTAAATAATCTTTGCAATTGTCCGAATATTTTGTCCATGATTCATCTGCATGTGCCATCCCGTGATGTTCGTGATCCTATTCTTTTTAGCGTTCCGCACCATCGTACTGACTATGGTAAAAACACTGTGTTACCTCGACTTTGTAACCTAGCCAATAAGCACCGACACGACATTGAATTTTTTAATGTGTCTTGTAAACGTTTTAAATGTAATGTAAAAACTGTCCTCAACATGTAAATACAATTTTGTAATATTGGCTTAGCCGTAAATAAAGTATTATTATTAAGATTTGGAGTGCCTCACTATTTCCGTCGGCTTGAGCAATCGTCAGCTCAACAAGTAAATTTTCGACCTTTCTCCCAAAATCCTCAATCGACATGTTATTTTGCCTAATTTGAACTAACTGTGTGGATAAAGATGCGGCTGACTTTGTAGTCAGTAAGAAACGTCTCATATCCTGGACTAAAAGAGCATTTGAAGCATACACATTCTTTAATCTAATTTTCGCGCTTTCTGTTAACCTAGCTTTAAGGACATAGTTAGTAAGAGCTTGTTTCCCATCATTGTCTAGCAACGAATCATACAGTTCTATGGCATCAATCAGCTGTTTAGTGACACTTTCGTTACCATTCATCAACGGCAACAAGCTCGTTGCGGTCTTTAAATTGAATTTTTCCGTCATTGTTGAGAGCCTTTCTCTGTTATTTTCTACACTAATATTATTTAACCTATCTTGTAAAACCTTGTCTATTTCGTCAATTAATTTAACAATATTACCTACATAAATTTTGACTTTACTAATGGTTTCAACTTATATACTATCGATCATCAAAGTCATTAATTCGCCACTAGTAATTAATCTGTTTGCACCAAATTACACTTACTTTGACGCGATCTTCTCCCACGTTGAGCTGCTGTTGATTCCGCAAGTACGTGGAGCAGGAAGGAACGCTGGTAGGGCTCCTTGGGACGGGTTCCCGACGAAGATGGTGGCGGTAACTGACTTCTGCTGCTACGGGTGGCATCGCTGTTGTTTTCCTCTTAGACTGCTTCCTGGCTTTGGGATCTCCCAATCTCTCGTACAATTTTCTTGTCCAACCATTTCTTGCAAATCTTTCCCACGAACACGGCAAACAATCCGATTAAGATCACTACGCTAGTTATTGTCGTGATCTCGTGCAACGTTAAATTTTCAGGGGTTGCTGATACTGAGTTCTGGACCTCGCCAGCATTGCTGTTTATGACAATGTCTTCCTTGGAT